CGATCTCCTGACCTCGTGATCCACCCGCCTCGGCCTCCCAAAGTGCTGGGATTACAGGCTTGAGCCACCGCGCCCGGCCAAGATGCTTCCCTTAATGACATCTGCAAAGACGCTTTCTCCCAGTGAGGGCACATTTGGGGGGCCTGGGTATTAGGATGTGGATATATCCTCTTTTTTGGGGGGCACCATCCCACTCACTACAGATGGTGAAAAAAGGTGCCTGTGAAATTGGCAGGACTGCAGCAGAAGTGGGTTCATGTCAGCAGGGCACGACAGGAACACAGAGCTGCCCTGTCCTCTTGCCCCTTCTTGTCCCCTAGTCTGACTGCCCTGGGAGCTTCTGCCCTGCCATGAAGACACGGGCCTTCTCAGGGCTCCCACCCACTCTTGGGGGTTCCTTCATGACCCACACAATCGAGATCTTGCTGACCTCTGACCCCCAATAGAACAGAGTGGCTCCAGGCTCTTCTGGGCACCTTCCCCATCCACAGGCGGCTAGAGGTGCAAGGAGCCACTGGGTTCTATTGGGGGCCAGGGGTCAAGGGGTCAGAAAGACCTCGGTCATGTCTTGCTGATCATGTCTCAGTCACCCCAGACTCTGCACCTGAATTTATGTTCCCAGCCTTCAAACCCCTGAGGACATGGGCTGGGTCAGAGCCTCCCTGGGGCCCCAGCACTTCTCCAACGGGGCTGGGGTTGGGGAAGCGAGCAGGCTGCGGCCTAGGCCTGCACGGATGCCAACGCAGGGAGGTCATGGGGCCAGGGGAGGACAAAGAGCAGGGCGGTGAGTTTAGGGCCAGGGAGCCGAAGGGGGGCGGCCCGGGCCGAGGACCAGGGTGACAGTGCCAAGGGGGACCAGCGGCCAAATCTCCCTTGGCTGCCACTTTGGGGCCTCACCCCGGAGTCCGATACTTCCAGGTCTGAAGCTGGCCCTGCGCGTCCTAACGAAGGTCAAACTGTCAAGGCTTCTTCGATTTTACACCTTTTCAGGGCACAGACAGGCTACTCTCGCCTCGTCCCTGCAAAAGACCGGCACGGGGCTGCGAGGACCGCCGAGCCCCCTGCAGCACCCGCTCCAGGCTCCAGAGGCTTCCGCGGAGACAGAGCGCGCAGGAGGGACCCAGAGTCCCCAAGGGCGCCCCGTGGGGGTCGCCAGGCAAACCAGGCAGAGCCAGAGCCCCCTCCTCGCCAGCCGGACGGTCCGGGCGTAGTATGGGGACCCCAGGTCGCCCGGGGGATGGCGCGTGCGTCCCGAGGACGCCGTATTCGGGCTCGCGCAGGCCCCTCCCGGGTCACGGCCCGGGATACGTGAGCCGGGCACCCAGCGGGGTCGGGGGGGGGCGGCCCGCGGGGCACGGAGGCGGCCGGGTCATACCACCGCGCCGCTGGGAGAGGGGCAGCTCCCAGCCGGCCCTGCCGCCCCACACACAACCGCGGGCGGAGGACCCGGCGCCAGGCTGTGCCCTACGCCCAGCCCAGAAGCCCCGCGAGCCCGGGCCGTACCACCGCGAGGCGGGAGGAGGGCCACCTCGGGCCGTACCATCCGCCAGGCTGGGGGACGCACCCTGGCCCCGCCGCGCCCTCTCAGCTGGCGCCCCGCAGGCCCCGCCCGGCAGGTGCCGCCCCTCCCCGGGCCGACGTGCAGAAAAGAACGCGCCAGCCTCGCCCGCGAAGGGCCGCGCGGCGGTGGGCGGGGCGTCGCGAATCCCCCTCGCGCCCACTGGCTGCGTTGCGGTAGGGCGGGCCCGGCTCGGCCGGCCATTGGCTATGGGACCATGTCATTTGCATACGGGGCTGGGCGTGGGGCGGCTGGGCCCGGGGCGGGCAGGGGGCGCGAGGGTGCCCGCGGCCGCAGCTGAAGTTGGACCGAGAGCCGGCGACGACCCCGCGCCGGGGTCGCAGGTGACGCGCGAGGGATCCCAGGTTAGCGGGTGGGGCGCCCTTCAGAGGCCGCCCTCCCGCAGGGGCTGCGGGGGATCGGGCTGGGCAGGGGCGGCGGGGCTCGGACGCCCAAGTTGGAGGGGACGGGGGTGGGGTCGATCCCTCCGCCCGCCCACCCGGCAGTCCCTCCAGGCGCAGGGCAGCCCCTGCCCACCGCACACTGCGCTGCCCCAGACCCACTGTGCGTGTGACAGCGGCTGATCTGTGCCTGGGCAGCGCGACCCTCCTGGCCCCGTGACCCGGGTCTGGCGGGCAGGCGACCGGCCACACGGGGACGCGAGGGCAGCTGGACACTGTGGGGAGGGGGTGCCCTGTGGACGGGGTGTGCCTGTTTGGCCACCAGGGACGGCGGGTGGGGGGAAGCGGAATCATTCGGGGGCTTTGCTGCCCTCCGCTTACTGGGGTTGAGGCTGGGCCAGATACCCTCTTGGAGGGAACTTTGTTTTCCTTGTGTGTCCAGGGTACCGATGTGCGGAGTTCCTGTTGCCAAGCCGAAGGTGGCCCTGGGCAGGCACAGGTGTTGTGGTCATATCTTGAACCAACAGGACCATCCTCCTGAGGGCCACCTCTGGGGACTTCCTCCTGGAAGAGAGTGACGGATTTGGTGCTTCTGTGTGTTTCTGCTGCTTCAGTGGGGCCACTGCAGGAATCGGCGCATGGACCCTCCAGCGGCCTGTCTGCTGAGCCTGCCTTCTGAAGTCCACTGTGAAAATCAGGACCAGGGCGAGTCCGAGCCTACAGGCCCTGTCCCCCCTCCCCAGGTCTGCAGGAGTTGAGGGCTGCACCCGCTCGCTGGAGAGGGAGAGGCCAGATTTAGTGGACGCCTGGCATGGACTCGAACTGGTCTTTAGAAGCTCCCTGTCCTGACGGGGTTGCCTGTCACCACTGCGTACCGAGGCTTGGCAGGACCTGCACCTGGGAAAGGCTGTGTGTGGCCTTGGGGTCCACACCTGCAGAGCTGACTTACTGCCAGACAGTGACTTACTGTGGGCCACGCTCAGTGAACCGGGGTGTCCTCAGCTGGCCCTACAGAGCACTTCTGTGCTGGGGATGAGTAGGAACTCTGGGCGAGAAGGGCGCCAGCACTGCCCCTCGATACAGCCTGGCTCTGCCCTCTGCCCATACTTATACCAGGTGGGATCTCTGCCCTGCATCGCCTGGGGATTGGCTGGACTTGGGTCCGCCCTGCTGTGGAACTGTATGATTTTAGGGAGCCCAGCCTTTCCTCACGTCAGCACAGTTCACAATATAGTTTTCAAAGTATAGTTTAAAACTCAAAAGTAAACTTTTCAGCAACTCAAAGGTTTGCTGAGTGATCTGAAGCATTCTGGCAACTTTTTGGGGCCATGGGATTTGGTTCACCTGAAACAGCCAGTGAGACGCCGGGCGCGGTGGCTCACGCCCGTAATCCCAGTGCTTCAGGAGGCGGAGGCAGGTGATCGATCACTTGAGATCAGGAGTTCAAGACCAGCCTGGGCAACGTGGCGAAACCCCGTCTCTACTAAAAATACAAAAATTAGCTGGGCATGGTGGTGGGCACCTGTAATCCCAGCTACTTGGAAGGCTGAGGCAAGAGAATCACTTGAACCTGGGAGGTGAAGATTGCAGCGAGACAAGATTGTGCCACTGCACTCCAGTCTGAGTGGCAAGAGAGACTCTGTCTCAAAAAATATAAAATGAAACAGCCAGTGAGGAGGAAGGCTCCCCGCCTTCCCCACGCCGGAACACAGCGGCTGCTGGGACACCCTCTTGGTGGGGAAGAAGGCCGGTTAGCTTCATCAGAGCTAGCAGCAGCAGACCAGGGACGGGCACCTAGGCAGTGGCCTCAAAAGGAACAGGTGTTCCTCAAAAACACAAAGGAACAGCGCGTTGCGTGCTCTGCCAACTCCATGCCTGCTTCCCATTGGGGGGCTGGGGCATGTGGGGCAGAGCTCATGACCCCCGGGAGGACATGGGGGTGGGCTCCGGATGGCACCTGGTATTGCCCCCTGCTGGCCTGTGTGACGGTGTGGAGGGCTGGTCACAGAGGTACAACCATCCCTCCAGAATGTCAGTGGGGGCTGTGGATGGAGGAGTAGGCCCCTCAGACCCCAGGTCTGCTGCCCAGGCAGAACTCACTTGGCCTATGCATTCCAGGCTCCACCCCTTGTGCCCCTGGGCTTAGCTCCATCTGGGGCCACAGGTCAGGCAGGTCCAGGCCCCCAAGGACCTCCCAGGGATAGGCGACTGTGAGCCGGGCAGACAGGAGTGAGGTCAGGTGGGGGTTCCGGCTTGCTGACGCCAGCGTTTGGAGGCTTCCGCTGCTGCCTGGCCTCCCTGCATTCCCTGTTCCCTGCCTCAGGCAGGAAATAACCAAGCTGAGTTGCACCTGCACAGCAGTGAGCTCCTGGTGGTCCTGGCCTCTAGGAAGCCCTGTGGATGGCTTCCCTGCCCAAGTTCAGGACTTCCTCGTTCCCTTTGTCTGCTCCAGAGAAAGGGGGCAGCACCAGACCCAGATCCAGGGCCACCCAAGAGAAAGCTGAGTCCATCCCAAACTTGCCCACTCTCAGAGCACAAAGACCCCATGATCTAGGGCAAGCTTGTCCAACTGTCGGCCCATGGAGTGGCTTTGAATGCAGCCCAACGCAAATCTAAACTTTCTTAAACATTGTGAGGTTTTTTTTTTTTTTTTTTTTTGAGACTGAGTCTCCATCTGTCACCCAGGCTGGAGTGCAGAGGTCCAGTTTGGGTTCACTGCAAGCTCTGCCTCCTGGGTTCACGCCACTCTCCTGCCTCAGCCTCCTGAGTAGCTGGGACTACAGGTACCTGCCACCACGTCCAGCTAATTTTTTGTATTTTTAGTAGAGACAGGGTTTCACCTTGTTAACCAGGATGGTCTCGATCTCCTGACCTCGTGATCCGCCCACCTCGGCCTCCCAAAGTGCTGGGATTACAGGCTTGAGCCACTGTGCCTGGCCAACATTGCAATATTTTTTTTACGATTTTTTCTTTAAGCTCATCAGCTATTAGTGTATTCCATGTGTGGCCCAAGACAATTCTTCCAGTGTGGCCCAGGGAAGCCAAAAGATTGGACACCCCTGACCTAGGGCATCCCCATCCTCTGTCCCAATCCCACCCATGGCTGTACCCAGGTGTAGGGGTCCCTCACATTCTTCTCTAACTCTAACCATGGCCCCTGGAATTGGGGGTGTATGGCTTACCCTGAGGACCAGGAGAGGTGACAGCTAGCCCAAGGGCCCAGGCAGGGGCTGGGCTGGGATGTGGACACGATTTTTTTTTTTTTATTTTGGAGACAGAGTCTTGCTCTGTCACCCAGGCTGGAGTGCAGTGGCGTGATCTCGGCTCACCGCAACCTCCACACCCCGGGTTCGTGCCATTCTCCTGCCTCAGCCTCCCGAGTAGCTGGGACTACAGGTGCCCACCATCATGCCCAGTTAATTTTTTGTATTTTTAGTAGAGACAGGGTTTCACCATGTTAGGATGGTTTCGATCGCCTAACCTCGTAATCCATCCACCTCAGCCTCCCAAAGTGCTGGGATTACAGGTGTGAGCCACCGCGCCTGGCCAATTTTTTGTATTTTTAGTAGAGATGAGGTTTCATCACGTTGGCCAGGCTGGTCTCTAACTCCTGATCTCAGGTGATCCACCCCCTTCAGCTTCCCAAAGTGCTGGGATTATAGGTGTGGGCCACCGTGCCCTGCCCCTGCCCCAATTTCAAAGCTTCAAGCTCATAGCAGACATTTCACACCCACCTGGGGAGGAGGGGGGAGCCCCTGCCCACTAGTACCCATGCCCTCCCTGGGGTGGTGAAGTGGCCTGGGCCTGGCTGACCTGAGTCTGGGACCCGCCCCCACAAGTTCTCAGTAAACCTGACGGGCGGGTCTAGCTTGTCCTGGTGTCCTCAGTTCCTGCTGCTGGTGGGGCCCAGGCAACAGGATGACGGAAGTCAGGTGGGAGGGGGTGCAGACAAGCCCAGGACAGTCAGGCTGGGCTGAACCAGCAGGCCCACCAGGCTGGGGCCTCACAGGAGAGCCCCTGGGGTTAGGTGAGGCAGAGCAGGTGGAATGTGGAGCCCAGGAAGCCCCAGCCCTGGGCCCTACTGAGCACTGGTGCCTGAGGGACCCAATTCTCAGACACTCCAGCTGTGGCGTGCCCCAGGTGTCTCAAGGTACTGCTCAGTGGCACCCCGTGGAGGCTCAAGTTCAAGACCTCAGACCCTGCCCGGCGCAGCTTCGGCACACAATCAAGCCGCTTCCAGCAGTTTATTGAGGTTTTCACGTTGGGGTAGGGGAAGTGGCACACACGTGCTTTTGCCATGTACACACAGTGAAAGACCCCTCCCATAGGCAAGCACATGCTCACAGCTTGAGCACACTGTCCATGCATCTCCTGTCCCCAACAGGCAGTCGTGGCCTTTGGGGCCTGGCAGGTTCTGAGCTGGCTACGCCCCATGCTTTTCCAGGGTGCTGGCAGACCGGCAAGGACTAGGGCAGTCCCCCCCTGTACCCCAGCTCCTGAGACCAAACCCAGGGCTTCCCACTGTGTGGGGGAGGAGCCCTCTGTGACCGCCAACTCTCCTTCTGTGGTCTGGGCAGGCTGGTCTCGAAGCCCTCACTAGGCTGTCACAGAGGCTGGGGTTGGGCGGCCAGAGGACACCACTCTGGGGCAGGAGCTGCTGCTACCTCCAGTTCTGCTTCATGGGGGCCACTGCGGGAGGACACAGGCTGAGGTGGCTGCGGCCACAGGAGGGCCCAGTGCCCCAGGGGGAGGTGGAGCACAGACATACCCTCGGGGCCTAGGCTGGGCACCAGCATGGGACTGGGGGGGGGGGTGCCCAGGAGGGACTCCTCTCTGGCTGAAGGCAGAGGGCCCTGTGGGTTGGGAAGTCAGCTTGGAGTGGGGCTGGGCCAGGTCCTCACCTCCCAGCCTCCCCCAAGAACCACTCCGACCTGAGTGCCAGGAGGGCCCCTGTCAGGCCGTGGGGGCGGTGGCAGCGCAGCCCCGGTCTGCTGGATGAACTGTTGCAGGTTGCACTGACGGAGTTCCCGGTTCAGCTCCTCCAGCTCCTGAGCCTGAGCCTGGGGGCACATGGGACCCTCAGGAGGTATAGCCACAGGGCTCCATGCTCAGGCCCCAGAGGGAGTGCTCTCCTGAGTCGGACCCTGTGACCCCCATATCTGCCGGTGTCAGGGGTGGGGGAATGACAGGGGATCAGGTCCCCAGGCTCACCTGCCTCCCGAGTAGGACCCTGTGACCCCCATGTCTGCCTGTGTCAAGGATGGGGGAGTGACAGGGATCGGGTCCACAGGTTCACCTGCCTCCCCAGTCGGACCCTGAGACCCCTACATTTGCCCGTATCAGAGGTAGGGGAGTGACAGGGGATCAGGTCCCCAGGCTCACCTGCCCCCCAAGTCAGACCCTGTGACCCCCGAATCTGCCGGTGTAAGGGGTGGGGAAGTGACACAGGAACAGGTCCCCAGGCTCACCTGCAGGGCTCGCTCTGCAGCCTCCAGGGCCCGGCTCACCAGAGCCAGGCTGCCCTGCACCTCCGCACTCTGCCGCTCCTGAACAGCCAGGTCCTGGCGCAGGCGCTCAGTGGCAGATGCCATAGGTGAGGGGGGCCCAGGGGCCTCCGCTGCCAGCTGCAGCTCAGCCTCCAGGGCACGGGCCTGAGCATCCAGGGCCTGCAGCCGGGCGGCATGCTCAGCAGTGGCCGCACTTAGCGCCTGCAGGCGTGCGTGTCCCTCTCGCTCCCGGGCTTGTTCCCGACGCAGTTCCTGTTCCCAGAAGGCCTCGTGGCCCAGCTCCTCAGCGTTCCTCTGCACCCTGAGCTCCAGGCCCCGCAGGTCTGTGCAGCAACCTGGTGTGGGTGTCACAGGGGCCGCAGGCCCAGGGTGTGAGAGGCTGGGGGCTGGCCCGGGGGTCAGTGTTTTGCGGGGCTCACAGCCCAGCGCTGCCCGTGGCTTTGCAGGGAGGCTGGCACGAATTGGGCAGCGTTCCGGGGGTGGACAGTTGTCTGAGGAGGGCCTCCCAGCCAGGCTGGGCCCTGTGCGCCTCAGGACAAACTGGACATCACTGGCGAACTGTCCGCAGGTGGCCTGGGCGCCCACTGGACACTCCTCTGGCAGCAGCTGCCGCTCCTTCTCCCTAAGCCGCTGCACAAGCACAAAGCGGCCAGTCTGGCCTGGCGGGGAGAGGAGAAGATCAGCCTATGTCCCCCCGACTCTCTGTCCACCTGGCTTAAGGAATTGGGGAGGACCATAAGGATCAGCAACCGGTCCCACTCTCCTCCGAGGGATGCCACGGGGCTGGACCACTCTCCTCCGGGGGGGGGTGGCCACGGGGCTAGACCACTCTCCTTCCGGGGGACCATGGGGCCGGACCACCAGGTCCCACTTCACCTCTGCCTGCCCAGCCTGCCTAACCCCAAGAGGACTCACCTATTGCTTGGGCCAGTGCGATGACCACTTCCTGGCAGGTGGTCTGCTCCGAGACCCCACAGACCACACGCTGGATGCCATCCACCCACACCTTCAGCTCCATGGCCGCCAGCCCCAACAACATCCCTGTTCTGTGGGGAGGGTGCAGGCCACAGGGTCAGGACCTACCTACCCCTATCGAAGCTTGGTCCTCCTCTCTTCCTTCTCCTGGCCTGCCCTAGAAACGGCTGGGCTGCGACCCCTCCGCATGGGCCCAACCCTCCTGTGCCAGCCCCACCCGCCGGCCACACATTCCTAGGGTGGCGGCCCTCCGGAGCACGCATCCTCCCCCACTTCACCAGCCTACTCTTGCCACGCCCGCACTCCCGGAACAAGGAGAATCATTAACCAGATCCAGGATTTCCTGCCCGCCTCACCTGGCTCGGAGGGCACTGCCCCCTCCCCAGGCGGCGCGGAGGCGCCCGCACGCCAGGCCCCGCGGCCGCCGCCATGGGAACGCCCCACCCGGACCTGCTCAGGCCGCAGAGGCGCTCGGGGTCGCGACCAAGACCTCGACCCTGCAGATCGAGCGGACTCCGGGTCTGAGCAGCCCCAGCCAGCCCGGGGAGCCCCGGCGCTGCCGCCTAATCGCTGCACTCGCCCCGAAGGTCCCGGTCCCCGCGGCAGGCAGGGATGCCCGCGCCGCGACCCCAGCCTGGCGGGAGCCAGGGCGTCCCCGCTCCGCAGGGAGGGCGCAGGTGCGGCACCGCCCCCGCCCTCCGTCCCGGCATCGCGGAAAACTCTCCCCAGTTGGAGTCGGCGCCCTGCCGGCTAGAGGCGCGCCCCGCACTCGAGAGGCCCCGGGACCCCGCGCGGCTCACCTGGGCGCTCGCCAGCCTCTGTACCCGCTCAGGCGCCGCCGCAACCTGCCGCCCCCAGCGCCGCGGCGCGCCCCGGACCCGCGCCCCCATTGGCCCGCGGCCCGCACGCCCCGCCCCCAGCGCCTCTATTGGCTGCTCAGCGCGGGTGTTCCGCCCCCTCCCCCGCGCCCATTGGCTGTCTCTGTCACGCCCCTCCCCGACCCATTGGCCTGCCGCCGCGCCCCGCCCCCAGAGACTCCAGGTGTGGGCGGGTCGGAGGGAGGGGCCGAGCCGCGGTCCCCGCCCCCACCTCCACCCCGCTAACAACGCGGAAACGCGGCGGCTGCGACCCGCGGGCGGCGCGTCGAGGCAGGTGTCCGACCCTGCTCCTGGGCCGACTTCGTCAGCAGCCTTCTAGTGTGTGGCGGGTTCCCGCCCAGGGAGGGTCTCTGGCCTGGGATCCCGCAACCCCCGCCTGCGTTGAGGGGCAGAGGGGCCAGCCCCTCCCCTCGCTTCCCGGGCCAGCCTTTGGAGCCTACCGCAGCGGCAGTAGCCTGGACGCACGGGGGTCGCGGGGTCGCAGGATCACCAGTCGCGGCAAGGGAGGTAGAACTCTGCGGAGCTGGCGGGCGCCGAGCCCTGGTGCGGGAGGTGCCCGCTCAGGGGAAGGCCCGGACTCTGGCTGAGGCTCTTCTCCTACACCTTCCTGCCGCTTTTGGACCCAGTGCCAGGCCTTACGCACAGTGAAGCTGGCTGGAAGCCGCTCCTCCACCCCCTACCCTACTGTCCCGCCCAGGGCCCCGCAGCCTCGCGGTCATTGATTGCCATTGTGGAGCATTGATTGCCAGTTCCGCCCAGCTCAGAACGAGTTATGGGCGTGGAGGGGTCTCCTGCCCGGCTGTCTCCTGTGCTCCGCTAGGGAGCCCTTACATAGTCGAAAGTTGCAGAGGTGAAGAGTGAATGAGTGAGGGCGAGGTGGAGGGTGAAGGCTGGAATGCTTGGGACTTGTGGGTCAGGTCTGGGACCTCGTTTTTGTCCTGGAGCAGAGGGAATACGTGCCATGGTAATGAGAATGCCCACAGGGCCCCCTGAGGGTAGCCCAGAGTGTGTGGAGATGGCTGGGAAAGGTGAGGCTTCAGTTTGGGGGTTCAGGTAGGTGAGGGCCTGTCACTGAGGTCAAAGGACCTGTGGGCTGGGCCTGGTGGTGGAGGCAGGTGCCTGTAGTCTCAGCAATTCAAGAGATGGAAGTGGGAAGATCACTTAAGCCCAGGAATTCGAGGTTACCGTGAGCTGTGATCACACCAAGGCACCTCAGCCTGGGCACCAGAGCAAGACCCTGTCTCTAATAAATTAATTATTAATTTAAAAAGAGGCTGTGGGCAGGGGCATACTATTCCCAGTTAGCGTTCAGCACAGTCCCCAGCTTGTCACTGTTACCTGTCTGCTTCCCCCACACACCCATGGCTATGCTGGGCTGGCCCACAGGCAGCAGTGCCCCCATATTTATCCCGCAGGTGCTGCCAGGCTAGGTAGGGGATGCTGGGGCCTCCCTCAGGGTGCTGGCCACTAAGTGGTCCCCCCGCTAAGCTGAGCAGTGGCTCAGCCTCTCACACCTCCAAGCTGGGCTGGCCCAGCCCAGAACTCACCCAGGGGCCTGGTCTGGGGTCTCCCTGGAGGCTCCTGGTAACAAACAGCCCCTCCCTTTCTGGGTGCTGGTATCCATGGCAACGGTATAGAACCCTTCCCTTCCAGGCCTGCTTGGAGGTCTGGCCTCAGCTGAGTGCTGGGGGTAGAGCCCTGAACTGGGGGTACAAGAGAGAGAAAGAGGGACACCACATCACAGGCAAAGGGCCAGCACCTGGGTGGCAGGGGGACATACCAGGGACATGTCAGGTGGTGACCTGCTGCCCCATCCTGGTCAGAAACACACGGGTGTGGACATCCACATGTGAGTCTCTTCAGAGAGCGACGCTCTGTGAGCAGTGGTGCCGCCTGGGCTGCTCCAACCTGTGTGGCCACACGAGGCACACATAGCCAGCTTGGGACCCCCACCCCTCCGCTCCTGAAGAACATTGAGAATGGCCCCCAAGTCTGGCCAGGGGGTTGAAGAAGCCGAGGAAGAGGCTCTCCCGTCCCCCACAGAGCGAGAGTCTGTCAGTGGTCACCTGGGACCTCCAGCAGGCGCACCTGCAGCCCCCGAGACCCCCACATGCCTGCCAGACACCACGCCCCACCCCACACGGGCGGCCTGCTCTGCTGACCTGCAGTAAGGAGGGGAGGGAGGAGTGGTGAGCCTCCTGGGCCAGGTGGCCAGGGGCCCAGCCTGAGTAAGCAGCAGGGGCTGCTGTTGCTGCTGCCGCAGGTTGGCTCTTGAGTCCCTGGACCCTCGCACACTGCGGCTGCTGTGGAAGCAGCGAGAACTGGAGATCCAGGCCTTGCGGTGGGCCGTCCAGAATGGCAAGGACACTCGGCTCTGCCATATCCTGGAGGAAGTGGCGGGGATTCCACCCAAGAGGTCTGCAGCACAGTCCCCAACCAACCCAACCCTGCCCTGTCCTCGCCCAGACTCCTGGTTTCTGTCTGACCCCAATCCCAACCGCTGAGTCAGATCCTTACCCTCATCCTCGCCCACACTGACCCTCCACCCTGATCCTAAGTTAACACACCATAGCCTCAACCCTAACCCTGCGCATGTGGATGGGTGCTAGACCCCTGCCCAGACCAGCCAGAGGCTGGCCGGCCCCAGTGGGGCTGTACTGTGTGCCCTTGGGGCCGAGGTGGCAGTGGAGCCCCTGACCTGACATTAGGAACCCCCTGCCTGAGCGGGGTGAGGGCTGCTGAGGTCGCCCCTCCTCCAGGAGCTCCCACAGTCAGGAGAAGTTCCTGCAGAACCAGGTCCAGAAGCTGACCCTGGAGTTGAAGGAACAGAAGGACCGAGCCCAGTGGGTGAGGCGGGGGCACAGGGAGTGGGCAGGGTCCTGGTGTTGGAGAGCCAGGCTGGGGCTGGCCTGGGGGCCTTCTGCAGAAGACCCACCCCCACCACCCACGGGCCCTCCCGGAGCAGGAGAAGGAGCACCTGGAGGAGCGGCTGTTGCAGACCACCCGCACGCTCCAGGAGGTGGAGGCCGAGCTGCAGAACTTGCAGAAGTCCTGCCTCCTGCAGCTGGCCCACTCCTCGTGGGTGGGCCGCATGCTACGATCCCAGACTGGCAGTGTGGAGGTGAGCCCGTCCCCCAAGCCCTCCTGCCCCAGGCTGCCCTCCCCAGCCCTCCCCCTCTCATCGGGTGCCTCTGCTGGGGTGCCCTGGCCTGCCTGGAAGCCTGCCCTGCTCAGGCTGCCTCTGGAACTCTGGGCTCCAGCAGGGAGGAATCAGGAGGCCTCAAAGCACAGGTGAGGTCAAAGAGAAGAGGTGCTGTAGGGGAGGGGTACCCTTCACCCCAGCCCCTGCCCACTGGCCTCTGGTCCCCTCTTGCAGGTGGTGACGGCAGAGACTCTGATGGACCCAAGTGACCTCTCTGAAAACATTCAGGCCCCCACTGGGGAGGTGAGCTGGGCCTCCCACGTGTGTGGTCTGGGACCTGGAGCCCTGCGGGAGGGGAGGACCACGTGCCTGTTGCTTCCTGGCCAGGGCTTTCGGCTGGAGGACGTGGACTGGAACAGCATTGCCCACCGGTACCCCAACCTCTTCATCAGCCTGGAGCCCAACTCAAAGCAAAAGTAACTGCACAGAGCAGGGACTCCCCAGGGGCCAGAAGGGAGGGCTCACCTTGGCAGGTGAAGACCCAGAACACTAAAGGACCCCTTAGTGTCCCTGGATAAGTCCCTTCAACCTTCCAGTGCTCAGTTCTCTGACCTGTAGGATGCGTTAGGGTTGAGGGACCGTCACTGTCCTGCCATGAGCTGGGCCTGGGTCCTGGGAGGCAAGAGGGGCTCCCTGCTGCACTGTCTTGTGGGGCTGGATGGGGGCAGGGCTGGGGTCTGGAGCTGGAGTGGCCATCAAGCAGAGTGTGGTCCACAGGCAGCCCCGGCCCTTGCCACAGCTGGACACAGGGAGCTCAGAGTCCTCTGGAAAGCACTCTGAGCGGCATCACAAGACCGTGGAGTGGGGCTGCCTGCCCTGTCTGAACACCAGCAGCTCAGGGGGCGCTGACTCCGACTCCAGCAGCTGCCGGCCGGGCCTGCCTTCCCTCGTGCAGGTGGCAGGGCACCCACCCCGGGACCACCGCGCTTCCTCCAAGCAGGCGCTGGTGCAGGCCAGGAGCTCCAGCAGGGACCTGGAAGGTGCAGTGGGGCAGGTCTCCCCCGGTACCCTTCAGCCATCCTTTGCCCCCTCAGAGCTGTGATATCACCCAGAGCCCTAAAGGAGGTCCTCCAGCCCCCAAGGTCCAACCACCTTTCCTGCCCCATCTGACCCTGGCCCTGCTCCCCGCGCCCCCAGGTGCTGCAGGCCTGTTCTGGCCTCACAGGGAACCTCCCTGTGAGGCACTCCATTCCAGGGTCCCCTCCCCAAAAGCGCTGCTCTCTCTAGATCTGCAGAAAATCCACTCACCCAGGCACGGCGAGCCACTCCTGGCGCCCCCACCCTGCACAGACCCTGACCATTGGAGCCCGGAACACCTGCAGAGGTAAGGGGCGAGTGACCCAGGCCTCCCGCGCCGGGCTGGAGCTGGTTTCCCGGCGGGGCGCGCAGCTGTGCGGGTGGACCGGCCGCATCTCCTCACAGCGCCCTCTCGTCCCAGCCCGACAGGCCTGAAGATCGTGGCCGTGAGCTGCCGGGAGAAGTTCGTCCGCATCTTCAACCCGTCGCAGGAGAGCACGGCCGACCTGAGCTGCATGGTGCTGAAGCAGCTGGTGCGCGGCTTGCCGGAGCGCCTGTACCGCTTCCCGCCGGGCACGCTGCTGGCCCCGCGGCACCACATCACGGTGCGCCCCGGCCCGGGAGCCCGGCCCCGACGGCCCAGCCCGGCCGCCCCTCACCCGCCGCTCCGCGCCCTTCCAGGTCTGGGGCGAGGGGACCCGCAGCGCCAAGAGGCCGCCGCGCGCGTCCTCGGGCCGGGAGCCCGACCCCCTCCTCTCCAGCCGCGGCTGCGCGACGCTGCTCCTGAGCCCCAAGGGCGAGGTCTGTGCGGGCCCCCGGGGGGCGGCCGGGGCTGGGGTGTGGGGGTGACCGACGCGCCCCGCAGGTCCTCAGTGAGCACCAGATCCCACGCCGCGAGACTCCGGCCCCGAGGGTCTTCGACGACGGCACCGACTTGTCCATCGACCGCTTCCCGCTCCCTGAAGTCGGGCCCGGCGCTGACACCTGCAAGCCGCAGCGCCCACCTCGACCCCTGCGCAAAGGCCGGGTGCGGGAGCCCCGGGTCAGTCGCCGGAGACCAAGGTGGGGACCGCGGGTCCCCGGGATCTGGCCTCCCTCCCCAGGCCCCGCCCCAGAGAAACGGTGCCTCGAATCCCCGCGCTAGGACGGCCCCCAACTGTCCCAGGCCTCGCCCCGGCCGCCCCCTAGTTCTCCAGGACGCCCCGCGGCCCCTGCTCAGCCCCAGGCACGGAGCCCTCTAGGGCCGCCTTTCCCGGGCCGGCCGCCACCCTCACGACCCTCCCCCCACCAGGACGCGGGGCCTGCTGCCCCCAGTGAGCTCGGGGAAACTCTTCCACGCGCGGGAGGGGCCCGCGCGGCCCGAGAACCCCGAGATCCCCGCGCCGCAGCACCTACCCACCATCCCGGGTGACCCCACCCTGCCGTCGCCTCCCGCAGAGGCCGGGCTGGGGCTGGAGGACTGTCGGCTCCAGAAGGAGCACCGAGTTCGGGTGAGAGCGCTTGTGCGGGTGCGCCCCCTCCCCTGTCCCTCCCCCTCGTCCCCTCCCCTCCGCTCTCCTCCCCTCTCCTTTTCTCCCCTCCCTGCCCTTCCCCCTCCCGCCCCTCCCATTCCCTCTTCTTTTCTCCCCTCCCCGCCTCTCCCCCTCCCGTCAGCTCCCCTCCCCTCCCCTCCCCTCCCGTCCCCGCCCCGCCCCGCCCCGCGCGCCTCTCAGCCCCCGCGCCCCGCAGGTGTGCCGGAAGAGCGTGGACCGGAGCTGCCCCCTGGTGGCCCTGTCGGTGCAGAGCACGGCGGAGAGCAGATTCGGCTTCCGCTTCCTCAGCTGCCTGCCGGTCACCGCAGACACCTGCCGCCGCGCCTAGGAGCGGAGGAGTGGGCCGGGACCGCGAGGGAGGGCGCGGGCGGGCTCGGGGGCTGGGCGGGCTGTGTCCGCAGCATCATTTATTGAACCAACGTGGCCTACAAAGTAAACCGCATTTCTGTACACCTGAGAGTTGAAAATGTTGCGCTTGGGTTCGGGGCGTCCTGCGCCAAGAGGAGGGAACGGGCCGCCCTATCGCGGCGCGGGAGTCCTACAGATCCCAGGAGACGGGAGGCCTGGGCCGCACCCCCGGCGGCCTCGGGGCGAGCAGCTGGAACCCTGGGCCACAGCGGCCTAGGAGGTGGCTCTTACCCTGGGGCCAGCAAGGGGGTGGCGGACTGGACTCGCAGCTCCAGCCCCTGCCCCTCGGCCACGCCCAACTCTAGCAGGAGAGGCCTCTGACAGGCCTGCCGGTGACCAGTCCCCCCACCTCCGTGCCCGAGGGAAAGCCTGGCCCTAAGGAAGGGCTGGGGAGCGGGACCCTCCCTCCCCAGGCCAAACCCAGTTGTGGGCCTAAACTGTTCCAGCCTCTGCTGCCTTCCTGGCGGGTTCCAGTCCCCCACTCCCCTCCACCAAGAGGGTCCTCCCCAGGGCCAGGCACTCCCTCCACCCCCCAACACACCCGCCCAGATGGTCTGTGCTCCGTGACCACATATGTGGGCAGGTGGTGGCCCCAGCACAGGCGAGCTTGGCAGTGGGGGCTACACTAAGTGGGGACGGGGCTGGGGTGAGAGAGTTCAGCTGCCCTGGGAGGTCTGGCTGCTGCATCTGGTGCTGGCTTTGGGCCAGGATGTCCCTGGGCTCGAGGGCTCAGGCCCGAGGCCACCTCCAGGGCTCTCAGGACAGGCACTGCAGCTACCCCATCATCCAGGCCAGGCCCCCAGCTGCCCAGGGCTCGGAGCCGACGCCCCCTGGACTGCAGGTCTGTCGGCCACCGTGGGGAGCTGCTGCCAGAATCTCGTGGCCTTGGGTGCTTGGGAGGGGAAGGGACCAGGTGCTGGCTCGAGGTCCTGGAGGGCTCTAGAAAGCAAGCAGAGTGACAGCACATCAGAAAGGCTGTCAGGGAAGGGAGTCACCCGGTGGGGAGGCCACAGCCCACCCATGGCCCTGCAGCCCCGAGGCAGTGGTCCAGGCTGGGGGTCCACAGGCGGCAGCACCCCTGCACCCCACTTTCTGTATTCCCAGCCCTGTGACCCCTGACTCGCTTGGGCAGGCCCACCTCTGGGACAGACAAGGAGGCCACAAGGCCTGGCTCTGACCCTGGGTCATCTGTGTCCTGTCCCTGACAAGGAGACCACAAGGCCTGGCTCTGACCCTGGGTCATCTGTGTCCTGACCCTGAGAGTCTGCTCACTGGCTGACTGCCTCGGGCCAGTTCCCAGGCCTCTGGTCCCCCAGCACCCGCCTCCACTGGAGCCCTAGCATGCCTTTGTCCTGACCCTTCCTCGAGGCCACTGCAGCTCCCCCTCCTCCTGACTGCCCTGCCTGCCCTCCCTCCACCCCTGCAGCTCCGGGCCACTAAGTAACCAGCTATTGACCCCTCTGCCCCTCCACAGACACCCACCACCATATGGAAGGGCAGAGGCTTGGCCTGCTCTGTTCCCTGCCCATCCCAGCCCCCTTGACCAGGTTCCTGCACAGAGGAGGGTCAGCTGCCCACTGTGGGGTCGCCCCTGCTCACAGTGCTCCCCGCCCAGCCTGCCTGCCCGCTGAGGGAGGGTCCTCTCTGCCTTGCAGCTGTGGTCACACTGAAGCTGGTGTCCTTCGGAAAGGGCACTGCATGGCTTAATTCTGTGTCCCCGAGTACACGTGCCATCTTTGGGGTGAAGCAGCAGCACCCTCCCTGCCTTGGTCTTCTGGTGGGCACATGCCTGTGCCCCGGAAAACTGCCCCTGGCCATGGTACCCTGGGGTGGCTCCTTCTTTCTGCCCAGTCCCCTGTGGACTCTGTTCATATCCCCTTTTGTGGAACCCCTCTTTCGTCCAGCCCGGGTGTCCCACAAGGTCACAGGGCTTGGACCATGGCTTGGGAGAGGGAGAACTTGGGTTGGGACTCCCACAGTCATGAGCCCCCCACCCCTAGAAGGGGGCCCCCTGTCACAGTCCCTCTCAGAGCCCGGCTGAGGAAGTAGGGCCAGGCTGACATGTCCAATCTGGGGTAAGGGCCCCCTGCAGAGGTGGGGTGTTGGGTCACTCCCAGGCACTGGGGAGCAGGCGGGCAGGCTCAGTACCTGAGGCCAGGCTCGGGGGGCTGGGGGGAGTCTTGGGTTCTGCCTGGTGCACTTGCTCTTCAGGGACCCTCCGTGGGCCCCAGGGGGCTACAGCCCCTTCCTGTTGGGACTCCGGGTGCCTATAGGGGAGGGGGCTAGGGTGGGGAGAGGAGGAGGAGCTCCAGCCCTGTCCCTTCTTGGAGTTGATCCCAAGTACATGTGAGGCTCAGGGATGATCCATGAGCCTTGGGACCAGTGATGACTCAGCCAAGGTAGATCACCCCAGCCCTGATCCCCCCATGGGACAGGACACACACAGTGGTAGAGCTGGGGGGACACCCACCGCACGCCAAGTTCCCTCCAGGCCCTAAGCCCAGCCAAGGCCAGGAAGTCAGAGCTGTCTGCAGGGTCAGGCTCTGGGGAGGAAGTGCTGGCGGCCAGATCTCCTGGCCTGTGCTGGGGCAGCTGCTCCGCGGGCTCCCTGGCCTGGGGAGGAAAAGGGACTGCTCTGGGGATTCTGGCCCTGGAATGGCGGCAGGGCGGGGCACTGTCAGGGCCAGAACCCTGGACACTGGTTCCCCTGGGGGGCTGGTTCCTGTGGGGTGTACCTGGCACTGGTGCCTACGCTCCCGCAGGCCCTTGGTGGGGTTCCCACACAGGACTTGGCCAGCACCTGCAAGAGACAGCACGGCTGGGCCTGGTTCGGGGCCGAGGGGCTGCAGGGTCAGCTGTGGGGCAAGTAGTTACCATGGGTGAGGCTGCTGGTGTTATCTTCTGGGGCCAGGTCCTCAGAAAGCAGGCCTTCAGGCAGGGGGCCCCCATGGACCAGCAGGGAGAAGGGCCAGGGCCTGGAGGCCCGGGGCTGCGTCTCAGGCAGGTACAGCTCGGGGTCGAGTCTCCGCATGGGGCCTCCACGGGGACAGTCTGCCCGAGGTTCAGAAGCAGAGGTCACCAAGGCTCAGGCCAGCTGGTCAGCCCGGGAGCGCCCCCCAGACTCTGTCCACAGACCAGGGGGCCCGATTCCCACACTGCATGGCCTGAGGCTGGCCTCTGACGCTGCAGCCTTCTAGAGAGGCCCTCATCTTCAGACCCTTCTCTCCCTCTGCGGGCTGCTCAGAGACAGTGTCCTGGGGTGTGCCTAGCTCTGGGGCCGGGGTGTGCCTAGCTCTGGGGACCAGGGGTCAAGGCTGGGGAAGGACATGAGATGTGGCTGTCCGTCTCTGAGAGGCCTGGGGTGGGGGCCTCTTCCTGGGGGGCTCTGGGGCTCAGCAGCGGGTCCTCCAGGCGCAGCTGTCGTACCCAGCCAGGGGAGGCCATTGCCCTTCTTGATGGCCTCCTTCACCGAAAGCCAGTCTTGGCTCAGCCTCGGGGGGGCCGGTGGGCCTGTGTGTGCAGCCGGCACTTCGTCCAGGACCTGCAGCTGGGGGATGAGCTTCCTCACCTCTGCCCTGTAGTTGTAGCCCCTGGGCACCTGCAGGGGGAGGGCGAGGGAGCACAGGTCTGGGTCCAGTGGTTCCTCAGGCCGGCTCTTTCCCTGGCTCCCTTTCCCAGACCCACCATGGGGCAGGGCAGGGGCCCCGAGGTGGTGATGCTGCCCTACCCTGCTGAGGTGGGCTTGGGTCACTCTCAGACCCCAGGGACTTCAGGGACTGGGCTCTCACCCGCTCAGGATACAGGACCCCACTCTCCAGACCCAAGGCCGTGTCCAGGGATGCCCTCTGGCCCATGGAGCTGCCCTCAGCTCAGGGCTCTGGCCCACAGAGCAGCAGCCACTGGGCACTGGTAGATATTGACCCCAGCATGTGGCAGCACCAAGCAGCAGCTAATGAGGCTAGCACTGTGAGCTCAGGGCAAACGTGGCCTGTGCTGGGTTAGCTACCCCGGGGCCTGCACGCACAGGTGTGCCAGCTCTGAGCAGGGCATACACAGCTCCGAGATACTGCACAGGGTGGTCTGTGAGGCTGGAGGTGGCTCTGGACAGGGCGTACACAGGTGTGTGTGCACAGCCACGTACACGTGATTCTTTGTGTTTCCACGTGGCTTATGTGTGGACCTCACAGTGCATGCGTGGGTTAAGGAACATCGCGTGTGGGCAGGTGACCCTATGGGATCTGGCAGAGCTGGCCCAGGAGGATGTCCTGGAAGCCGTCAGACTTCCGGTGACAGAGGAGATGAACTCAGGGTGAGCAGGCCACAGAGTGCGGGTGGGCACAGAAGTCCCTGGCCAGAGCGGAGGCCCCGGGGCTGGAGCCACAGGGAGCCTCCCCTGGCCATGCACATGCCGGTCGGGTGCCCGGGACACGCACCTTGTTGGTGGGGCCGGGGGCCGGCTGTAGGCACACCAGGTTGCCCTCCAGGGTAAGTGTGGTCAGGCGTGGGCACAGCTGCAAGTAGCGTACCTGCCCCAGGTCCTCCACGCTGTTGCCCTCCAGGTCCAGCACCTCCAATTCCTCCAGCAGGCACAGTGGGCTCAGGTCCGAGATGTTGTTGTAGGAGGCGTAGAGTTCCTGGACAGCGCGGGGCTCTGAGCCAGGGCCCAGCCCAGCCCTCCCCAGCCCAGGGTGCCCAGACTCACCTTAAGTGCTGGCAAAGAGGCAATGCCATCCAGGTCAGTGAGGCCACAGCGAGCCAGCCATAGCACCCGCAGGTGGCCCAGAGACGTGCCCAGGTCCCTGCAGAAGGCAGGGTTTGGTGGGTGACACGGTGCCTAGCCCTCTGCCCAGCCACCACCTGCCTTTGGCTGCCTCCAGGGGTGGGCGCAGGTGTGACCGCCTGTGGTGGCCTCTAGGCTGAGCAAGGGGCTCTCTGCCTTGGCCTCCTGGCTCTGGTGTGGGTACAATGTCCCCTACTTTCTCCAAGCCCCGGAACCTGGCCTGGGAAGCTGCTCTCACGGCAGGTGGCTCAGCTTCTTCTATGGCAGGCTGCAGGCATCACACTTCTCTAATTGTTCCCTCAATAGCGTTTGGGGCACTCAAATTCGGAGTAAGGGTCTGGAATGCTGCCTGGGAGCCTGAGCCCCTGGACACTGATGGCTGACCCCGTGCTGAACTGGCAGGTTTGGTGGGGACCAGCTGCTGGAGGTGGCAGTGGGTCAGGGCGGCTTGACGTGTGCAGGGACACATTGCTTCCTGCCAGGCCTGCCCTGTCCCCACTGTAGCCACACTGACACCATGCACTGTCCCCAGGGACCCTGCACCTGCCCCTCTCGGCTAGGAGGCCGTCCCTTCAACGCCGCCATGCCGTCTCCACACCTCTCCTTAGGAAAGGGCCACCTGAGCTCTCAGGCTTTCCCCGAGCAGTTACAGATTCCTCCAGGGTTGGGTGACTTCTTCGGAAATCTTTCTCTCCAGCTCACAGCACCCGTAGGCTGCGTCTCACCTGGGCTTCATTCCGCCCATTGCGTTTTCAGCTTCCTTCTGTGGCCCCCCCAGGTGCATTCCCGGTGGTCTGTCCTTCGGCGCTGCGGAGTCAGTGTCTGTCCTCAGCCTACTGCCTTCAACGGCTTTTCCACTCAGCTCTTAATTGGCTGGGATTTGTGTCTAGCGATTTCTTCAAGAGCGGCTAATGGAAACCCCTTGATCTCTGACTCACTCACAGACGTCTGCTGGCTGTGCGCTTATGCAGCCATTAAGCTGGGTGTCGGATTCTCAGTTCACGCGGCTTCCCAGGAGACTGCGAAAGCTTTTGTTCCGGTGTCCACTGTGGTGACAGCTGAGGAGCACTTTGCTTTTTCTGACCTTAAAAAAACCACTTGAGGCTGGGTGCGGTGGCTCACGCCTGTAGTCCCAGCACTTCGGGAGGCTGAGGCGGGTGGATCACGAGGTCAGGAGATCGAGACCAGCCTGGTTAACACAGTGAAACCCGTCTCTACTAAAAATACAAAAACATTAGCCAGGTCTGGTGGCAGGTGCCCGTAGTCACAGCCACTCGGGAGGCTGAGGCAGGAGAATCGCTTGAACCCGGGAGGTGGAGCTTGCAGTGAGCCGAGATCATGCCACTGCACTCCAGCCTGGGCAACAGAGCGAGACTCCGTTTTGGAAAAAAACAAAAAACTTGAGGCTGAGAACAGTGGTTCATGCCTGTAATTCCGGCACTTCAGGAGGCTGAGGTGGGAGGAGCACTTGAGCCCAGGAGGTCGAGGCTGTCGTAAGCCATGGTCACACCACTGCACTCCAGCCTGGGCGACAGAGTGAGACCCTGTCTCAAAGAAAAAAAGACAACTTGATCTCTTTTCCTGGCTGCTCGAAATTTTTACCTTTGTCTTCAAGCCGGTAACTTTATTAGGATATGTTTCAGTGCCAACGATTCAGTTTGTTTTTCCTTTCAGTGTTTTATTTCTGACAAGTTCCTTTGAATTTTTTTTTTTAGATAGAGTCTCACTCTGTCACCCAGGCTGGAGTACAGTGGCGCGATCTTGGCTCACTGCAAGCTCTACTTCCCAGGTTCAAGTGGCTCTCCTGCCTCAGCCTCCCGAGTAGCTGGGATTACAGGCATGTACCACCGCACCCGGCTAATTTTTGTAGTTTTAGTAGAGACGGGGTTTTGCCTTGTTGGCCAGGCTGGTCTCGAACTCCTGACCTCAGGTGATCCACCCACCTCGGCCTCCCAAAGTTCTGGGAATACAGGTGTGAGCCACCACGCCCAGCCTGATTATTTATTTCTTATTTTTTTGAGACGGAGTCTCGCTCTGTCGCCCAGGCTGGAGTGCAGTGGCGTGATCTCAGCTCACTGCAAGCTCTGCCTCCCGGGTTCACGCCATTCTCCTGCCTCAGCCTCCCGAGTAGCTGTGACTACAGGCACCCACCACCCCCCGCTGCTCGGCTAATTTTTTTTTTTTTTTTGTATTTGTTCGTCTAGCAGCTGGGTTTCCCGTGTTAGCCGGAGGGTCTTTGAGTCTCTGCCTCGGTGCATCCCGCCCCCTGTGACGCTCCGAACGGCTCCTGCGGCTTACACGGCGTGACTGCCCTGCCCAGCTGAATATACTTGGTGTATGGCTGTGTATGTGTGCTGTTGTGTGTATTATTATTTTTTTTCAGCGAGTTTCGCTCTGTTGCCCGGCTGGAGTGCATCTCTCTCACGCCACCGGAGGAGCGAGGCACGAGAGCGCCTGCCTCAGCCTGTGCAACCGAGCGACCTGTCTGAAAACCATGATATATATCGTCACAGGCCCCCACGATACACACTATACCCCTCCTATA